AAGTGCGCTGCTACTGCTACAGCAAACACTAGCCAAGTATTTGAATGTTGAGCAGCGAGCTCATTGGCTACCGATACAAGAGAGAACCAATCAGCTGTGCCTTGTGATAATGATGTGTTTATGTCAGACTGAGTTAGACCTATCGGACTGCGCCATCTAGAGTTTCATGCCAGAACTTTGGATTTTTCATATACAATTTATGGCATAGTCAGCAGGATCTAACTCTAATTTTAATGTCTTAAAAAATAACACTTTTCATTCAACACCCTGGAAGCAGCACACTAGTGTGTATACTTAAAAATAAAGACGTGTGTGTGTGTGTGTGTGTGTGTGTGTGTGCTGCTCACACTTTGGCGTGCTGAGGATGCCAGGCGTGAACACATGAGCTCCTCGAAGAACAGCATTACCACACTGAGCGCTAACGATCACTTCAGAGGCCAGCGGATCCACGGGCCTGCAGAACAAACACAAGCACACAAACCAACAGCCACTGTATTACTGTAGAGTCCAGCTTCTGAGAGAACAGACATCATGCCAGCGATCGGCTCATCGTCATGCTGGATAATAAACAGAACTTATATTTTAAAACAATAACAATTATCATTTAACAACAAAAACAATATTGTGAGCATACCGAGGGCCGTGGACTGGAAGCAGCAGAACATCTGGAAGCTGTGGGTGAGTGTAAACTGATGGAGATCTTTCCTGCTGCAAAGAGACATTGAGAAAAAAAAAATCCTGAAAACTATTCTAATATATTTAACTGTACATTTTAAACAACACTATGTAGAAGACTCATCATTGATTCCCAGCACCATACAGTGGCCCCAAAAAAGTGTCTAGACACTTACTAATGTCACTACTCTCTGTACTTTTGTTTACTTTTCTGTGACTTTTCACAGTCACATGTTGATGGCTCTCTAATGTCAGTTAATGGTCAAACGGCATTCACGTAAATAAATAATAAACATAAAATATTTGATCATTTTTTTAAATTATTTATTTACACTGTAGTTTTTAGTTGTGACAGTGTCTCAGTCCACATTATATTCATACTACTGTTTTTAGGAAACCAGTCAATTTGAATAATAATAATAATAATAAAGTTTAATAATTTAAAAACTCTAGACAGAGATATATTAGTATTATAATAATTCTATTTAACTTTTAAAAAAAAATTTAATATTTGACCAATTTAATAATAATTTTAATATTACACTACTTACAATAGTTATATATACTGTATATATATTTTTTTATTTTATTTTTTTTTTTTTTGGTAGAAAACTGCAAGGAGACTTTTAAGTTTGTGTTTATTTGACAAAAGGTTTATAAAGGTTTCATGAATCTGGTGAAATGCTAAAAACTTCCGTCCACAAAAATGTCGGAAAATGTGAAAATCAAATGATCACAGACTTTGTAATTTGATAATCTCACTAAGCCATATCGCGCTGTTATTTATCAGCCCCTATAAAAACGTACACACTGTCGTACGCACTGCCGTTTTTGCATATATAACACAACATGTGAAGGTGCACAAACACACACCTGTGCTAAATGTTGCTGGAGCCGGTGCTGAATGTCCTGAAGTGAGTGCCGGTGTGTGCTGGCTCTCAGACAGGTGAACAGAGGCGGATGAGACAGACAGGACAGCAGAGCTTCAAACACCAGATCAGACTCACACACCAGCTACAGAAAAACACATGAGAAGAAGAGACATGCACTGGGTTTTCAAATGGCATGTGTGACCCTGGAGCACCAAACCAGTCATAAGTAGCTCAGGTATATTTGTAGCAATAGCCAACAATACATTGTATCATTCGGATATTAAGTAAAGATCATGTTCCATGAAGATATTTTGCAAATTTCCTACCGTGAATATATCAAAACTTAATTTTTGATTAGTAATATGCATTGCTAAGAACTTCATTTGGACAACTTTAAAGGCGATTTTATCAATATTTCGATTTTTTATTTTTTTTGCACCCTCAGATTCCAGATTTTCAAATAGTTGTATCTCAGCCAAATATTGCCCTATTGTCCTAACAAACCATACATCAACGGAAAGTTGGAAATCAATAGAAATCTATGGAAATCAATAGAAATCTCAATTTCAAAAAGTTTACCCTTATGTCTGGTTTTGTGGTCCAGGGTCACATATTGTAAACTTTGCCCATGTCATGAGGCAGAAAAATTCCATTAAAAAAACAACAACAACAACAACTTAGAGGTGAATTAAGAGTTATTTGACTGAAAGTGCCCACCTCGTTGTTTGTATAAACATTGCGAAGATGTTCTCGCACTTCTGGGTTCATGGAAAGCTGAGGGAAAACTGACATGTCCGTGTCTTATGTGAAAAATAACAAAAAACACATTAGTGTAAGTTGTAAAACAACTATAAGCTAATCAGTCGTACAGTCTCTCACACGGTCATGTAATAAAAGTTTACAGTACAAGCGTTTCCGTGTTTAAAAAACTCACGTTATTTCAGCGCAACATCAACGTATTTTGACTCAGCCATCTGTGTGTTTCATAAACATAACGACCACATTGACATAAGCACGTATCTCAGCTCTTACCGTCTTTTACTCTACTTGAATTTTAATCAGAAGTAAACAGAAAATGAATCGTTCTTCTTCGTTTTCGTGTTGTTTTGTCGTATCCGCGGCGGTCGCACTCCACACCGCCACCTACTGTTTCCTCTGCAGAAGCGCTTGGGTAAAAATCTAAATATCAGGCTTCTCACATTGATTGAATAAGTCACCATGTATATCTGCAAAAAATTATGCAGAATAGCCTTAACCTGTCTAGATACTAGCTCTCTTGCCTCATTATTCTAAAATTGGGACAGAATTAAATAATGTAATATTTAAAGTTTATAATTTAAGAGATTAAAACAATATTCTTGTGAATTGTACCATGTGCCTAGGGCAAGGTACACACACTAGGGCAAAAGCTGCTTTTTATTATTTATTTACATTGCAGGGTTTTTTTTTTTTATGTGATAGTGTCTCAGTCCACATTATATTCAAACTACTGTTTTGAGGAAACCAGTCCATTTGAATAATAATAATAAAGTTTATATCATTAACTAATTTAGAAATAAATAATAATAAATATTTGAACATTATAATGATTATTTTATTTTACACTGCAGTACTTACAATACATAATATGTCTCAAGTCCATCACTTTCAAATGTTAAACCATCATTTATTTATTTTGGCAGAAAACTGCAAGGAGACTTAAGTCTGTGTTTAGTTGACAAAAGGTTTATAAATGTTTTATGAATCTGGTGAAAAGCTGAAAACTTCCGTCCACAAAAATGTTTGAAAAAATGATAGTATTTAATATGTAATAATTTACAGTTTAATATTTATGTAATATTTCAAGTTTATCATTTAAGAGATTAAAATAGTAATAATATTGTGAATTGTAACAAGTAAATGGAAGACTTCATTTGTCTAGCAAACCTACACTGTAAAAAATAAATCCGTAAAACAACAGAAAAAGAACTGGCAGCTCATTACACACGACACTATCCATTAATTTTACGGACATTTCTGTTAACTCTAAAACAAAATGCAATGAAGTGTAAAATTTTAAATACTGGTAAAATATCAAATTACACAGATATCGTGCCCTATTTTTACAGATTTATTTTAGTGTACCTGCAAAGCTCCCTGAAAAACTCTGCTCAAGTGAACCGAGGGCAAAAGCTGCTTTAAACACAGAGGATGCTCACACCAAATGTTGATTTAATTAAGTTAATAGAAGTTAATTGATAAAGAAAATCTATTTATGACATTATTTTTGACAGCATCTGCATTTTACTGCATTTTTACACAAGTGCCTAAAACTGTTAACAGCACTGTAGCTTTGCAGGTAGCTTTCTTGAAGCATCTTGAAGACAGTTCTTCTGGATTGAGTCTGTCTCAGTTTGTTCTGTTTCTTCATGTTATTCCAGACAGACTGATGCTGATCAGATCAGATCTCTGTGTGGAGCACTGGCTGCTGTCAGACAGAAATCTCACTGGATTATTACAATTAATGGCAAAATTAATGTTTGGAAAAACTGACTGGCTGCTGTCAGACAGAAATCTCACTGGATTATTACAATTAATGGCAAAATTAATGTTTGGAAATGCAAACTGATATTTCCTACTGACACACTACAGCAAAATATAGAAATAACTGACTTAAAACCATTATTTATATATACTTTATATACAAAAAAAAAGAAGAAACTGCACATGAAAGTTTTAAGAGAGATTTATTCAAAATATTCAATATTATAAAATGTAAAAAGTTAGGCAACGAAATCAAATGAGATCAAATGCATCTAAACATCAACACGTTCACATTTTTTATCATCTGAATCACCAAAAAAAAAAAAAAGACTCGTCTTAGAGATCTGAGAAACAACTTACGGAGTGAGACTATGTACCTTAAAGTAGGGTTGCAAGGGGGTGGAAAATTTCCAAAAATCCCTGGAATATTTTTTTTTAAAAATCCTGGAAATTTTCCAAAACTTTTGGAATGTTTCCGAAATTTACTGGAAATTTTCCACCTTTTTGCAACCCTACTTTCAAGTTACCATTATAAAAACCTAAGACATGGTCAAAATATATAGAAACATGATCCATGAGAGCCCTGCACTTATAAAATACTTTCACCAGCTAACAGTGAGGTGTGATGAAATCAAGTGGAATTTGTTCCAGTTGGCATAAAACAAAACACAGGCACGCAAGCCTAAGAAAAAAACTAGTTTAAACACCGCCAAAAAAAAAAAAGGTGCATGGTTCAATCTTGCATTTTAACAGCTCAAACCATGAGTGACACTAACTGTGATCCTGTATCATAACCCATTCAAAATATGAGATCTTATTCCAGTGAGTTGCACAGAGTAAACGCTTACTTTTCATTCAGTATATTAAAGTTAGAGGTGGGTTCTCATGGGGATTCAGCACGGATTTCTCTCACCTAAAGGGGGGTTTTTAAAGAGGATGCGGGGCGTTTTGTTTGTTTAATCGTCTTTGTCTTTGGCTCCGTGTTTAAGAATACGGGTGAACTCCACGTAGTTGAAGTTGCTCTTTTTATCGATGGGCGCTTCTCTGAAAAGCTCGTCGACCTCTTCGTCTGTGAATCGATCACCCATAGTGGTCAGCAGCTCCCTCAGGTAGTCCTCATGAACGAAGCCTGCGAGGAGAAACAATCACAGCTTCATCTTAGTCCAATCTGCGGGGTTTGTTAAGAGCAAAGTCTCCAAATGAGAGTATTTTTCCTCGGTAGTTCAATATTTTTGTTATACTCAGTTTCTCTCCACAGCTGCATAATTCTTCACGCTCAAAAAGATTGATGCATTTGAATTGCATTACACAGTTTTCACAAACTAATAAACTTAATGTGATGCATATTTTTATATTTGTCAGTCTCACATAAATGAAACGGGTAAGACATTTTGAAATAATACTAATAATCTGAATGTGCTTTAAATACACAGTGTCCAGGTTTATATATTTTTCCATCAATAAATCCAAATAGTTTCAATCTCATGCATTTTATACACTAATTGAATATTACTCATTTCACAGCTAGCCATATCTTAACCACGTTCACTTTTGAACTGAATAAATGTAACTGTCACAATGAATTATGCTGATTCCAAGAAATGCATTTGGAAAATATGATTTAAATAAAATCAAACAGTTAATAATAAACTATCCCATTATTTTAATTTTTTTACCCATTTCATTTATGCACGACTGAGAAACATGCATCACATTAAGTTTATTTTTGTTAAAACTCTGTAATTCATATGGATGGGAATTTTACATGCAATTCAGATATATAAACCTCATATTTAAGCTTAAAAATCATGTTGAGTGCAGAGAGTGCATTCATTTTAAAGGCATTCATTGATGCCGAGCACGACTGTAGCAGAAATTGTGTTGCACGGATTCAATAAGAGACAATCTGTTCACCTGTTCCTTCCTCGTCAAAGCAGGCAAACGCATTACGGATGACTTCCTCCGGGTCTGTGCCGTTAAGCTTCTCTCCAAACATCGTGAGAAACATAGTGAAGTTTATGGGCCCAGGAGCTTCTGTCATCATTGCCTCCAAATAGTCATCTTTTGGGTTCTTCCCTGAGAGACAGTGATCAGATCCACACATCAGATTCACAAACATATGTGACCCTGGACCACGAGACTAGCCATAAGGGTCAATTTTTGGAAATAAATAAGCTTTCCATTGATGTATGGTTTGTTAGGATAGGACAATATTTGGCAGAGATACAACTATTTGAAAATCTGGAATCTGAGGGTGCAAAAAAATCTAAATATTAAGAAAATCGCCTTTAAAGTTGTCCAAATGAAGTTCTTAGCAATGCATATTACTAATCAAAAATTAAGTTGATATATTTACGGTAGGAAATTAAAATATCTTCATGGAACATGATCTTTACTTAATATCCTAATGATTTTTGGCATAAAAGAAAAATCTATAATTTTGACCCATACAATGTATTGTGATATAAATACTGTTCAGTTTCTTGCACAGACCGATCGTTTCGTGTATTTACACATCAATGTATCGTCACGAGCTGCAGGGTTTAATTTGGATTTGTCTGTGCATGTTTTTTTTACTCTCATAGATTTTGTTACCATTGCCATGCATTATACGACTGATAGACTGCAACGGTTGGAGTTAAAAATCATCATATGTGTTCTACTGAAGAAACAAAGTCACCTACATCTTGGATGCCCTGGGGGTAAGCAGATAAACATCACATTTTCATTTTTGGGTTAACCATCCCTTTAAGACTGCTTTTGTGAAAAGTGGCATTGCACTCTTCCAAATGTGACCAGTTCCTCTCCCGTCTGCATTATGTACTCAGGAGAAAATACAATTAAATTGAAAACAATGAAATGCAAAACAAAAGCAAGAATTATAAGCCGTGGTCCTCAATGCCAGTAAAATCTTACCAAGAGAAGCAAGCATGTCATGAAGATCCTCCTTATCAATGAAGCCGTCGCGGTTCTGGTCGATCATGTTGAACGCTTCCTTAAACTCCTGAATCTGCGACTGATCGAACATAGCGAAGACATTGGAGGTTGCCCGCTGAGGGCGTTTCTTGGTGATCTTTCCCTTGGTGCGACATTTGCTCGACATTTTGGCTGTATTTGGCTTTACCTACAAGCTGGGAAAACAAAAGACACATCAGAAACAAGCCCAGACACTTACAGATTCACTTGCCAAAAATAAACAGCTTACTATTCTTCAGCTCAAAAACTTTGTGCATTCTTTTTGTGCACCGAGCAAAATGAAAAGACATCGACAATGTCTTAGTGGTTCTGCAAAACTAGGTATCTGCAGGTTTTCCTGAAGGTACATTTTTATTAAGAGCATGTAAAGAAAATGTAAGGAATAAGTCGAAGGGAACACAATATGTCACTACAGTAAGTTCACTAAATGTAAACGTCTACGGATCACAAATTGAGTTGTACATGAGAAAATACAACTTCAAAAAAATATCTACTGCATTACTTTTAACTCATTTTACAATAAACTTTACTGTACATTCTGATCTAATAAATGCAAAAAGTGCTGTCCTTCGCTCAGTATTTCTTATTTTCCAATTCAAACATCTAAAGAGTCTTAAATCAAAACATTTACTTCAGAAGCAAATTTACTTATAGTCTCGTTTTCTTTTAAACTGATCAACGTGAATTGAGTTAATATTAAAAAAAGAACAAGTATCTGCCAATAGGCTCAGTAAAATCTATTTAATTCAAAGGGGAAACAAGTTTTCACACCCCTTTGACAAATATGTGTTCCTGTTTTAAGCATAAACTCACTTCAATGTCTCAAAACAAGACTTTGACTATCTTCATTTTGCATCTCAAGTAACTTTATCTTGATTTAATGATGTTTAGACATTTGTATTGGAATACATGGGGAAAAAAAACACCTAGGAAGATGTTCATTTTTGCATTGTATGCAACATTTAATGCAACGTGTATGCAACGACTTGATGAAATGAATTGAAGACATTCTGCTCCAATTTAAGATTTTTTTCTAAGGCCTTAATTTGTGAAAGGGGGAATTAAAGGTGGGGTAAGCGATTTTTCAAAAACGCTTTAGAAAACTGATTCGGGACGAATAGCAAAACAAACTTGTAGCCAATCAGCAGTAAGGGGCGTGTCTACTCATGATGTGGAGGAGAGAGCGTTCAGTCCGTGCCAAGCGACAGAAAGATAGAGATGGCGGATAAAAAACAAAAGAGGAAAACGTCTGCAGAACAAACGAAGGCTTAAGGCAAGAAGTAGGACCCGTGTAAATATCGGATCAGCTTTCCAGCGCTGGAGAGAACTCAAGGAGCGGAAGGCCTGCGATCGGACGCCGAGGTTGCTTTGTTTCTTCTCGATAGGTGAGTAACACCGTGTCTGCGCCGCAACAGCTAAAGTCTGTCTAGTACACTGGACGCGACAAAGCGACCGTAAAAAATCATTGAAATTAGTGTCAATACGTCATGAATAGAACGCTAAGAAAATTCGTTTAAAACTCTCTACACAATATTTATACTTTTATCATGAGACCAAGTTCGTTAATGAAATATTATAAACATGCCACACCCCTTTATCTTCAGCGTTGGTTTCTCCAGACACGCCCCCAACAAATTCTACGTAATCGTTCTTAAACATGACCATATACGGTCTAAAATCTATTTGAGTAGACGTTACATTTATTGCATTGTCACTTATTTATTGATTTATTGATTGATTGAAACATTTGTTTATCATACATAGCCTACCTGAAAAACTGGTCGTTTACAAAAAACAAACAAACAAACAAAAATACATTAAATGAGCCACTAATATATTTTGAAATAAAAATAAAAATGCAATTGAGTAAAAAAAAAAAGAACAGTAAAACGAAAGCCTCGGCCAATCAAAAATGCTTTCAAAATGTAAATTTGTAAATATTTGTATGTAAAACTTCATTGAAAAAAAGCCTCAAGCCAATTTATAATTAAAATTGCATTCAAATGAATTAATTGTCTGTTATTATAATAACATCTTTATTTAACTGGGCAAATTTCTGTCCAATTGTGCCTACTCTGCTTCATTGAGTTTAAACTCGACTTTCTTAATCATTTCAAATCAGATAAGTGAACTTAGGCTAACACTGTGTTATACAAAGTTGCAACACTGCATGGTTGAAACTTAGATACAGCCACTGAACGATTTTCAAGTGCATTTAATTTTTTTTAACAGTGAAAGTACATGAAAAAAGTCTTCATTTTGAACGGTACATTATAAGCACGCATCATACATGTCCAAAGAATGGTGTTTTTATTTATTTGTTTGTTTGTTTGCATGTTTGTTTGTTGATTGGTTGACTGATTGATTTCAACTATACGGACAAAACTTTATTTTAATTTTTAAAAAAATCCCTTTTATGTCCCTCAGGGAAAAGTTCAATGATATAAATACCTTTTTTGGAAGCTGCATCCAAAAGTCAATCTCAAAGATCTGAGTGGGCACGTGGGAGTTATACTACCATTCATAATCAGGATATCTGTCGGCACCGATAGGGCCTCTGGTTAGTGCGTCAACACATAGTGCAACTGTGCTCACGGCGACCCGAGTTCGACTCCCGTCTCGAGGTCCTTTGCCGATCCCGCTCCCCATTCTCCTCTTAGTGCTTTCTTGTCATCTCTCTACTGTAGTATCTCAATAACAAAACAAAAAAAATCAGGATATCTATTCAGTATTGCATTATACTCTATGGCCACAAGAGAGCGTATTTGTGCTGTAAGCGCGTGCGAAATGTTATAGCATGCACTCTGTACAACACTTTTCTCACAAAAGCTAGCTGTAAACGATAGAATTTAAGTCATTATTCGTATTATACTCCCAAATTTTATTTTTTCCAGCAGTCGCGTTTAATTCTTTATTACATTTAAGAAGGCATTCAAAATTATGCCATATGAAAAATATCCCTATAAATTATTTACAGAGCTTTGTTGTCAGTCTGACTGTGCACCGGAAGCTTGTGTCACCGAGACAAATTCCCTGTGTGTGTGTGTGTGTATAAGCATACTTGGCAATACATCTAATTCTGATCAGATATTTTGTATAGTGCAATTTATTTTAAGAAAAAAGCAATGATATGCTAAAAAAGTCCTGCAGAAGACGCAGTGCAGCAGCTGTGTTAAACCCATGCTACAATCCCAGGGTCAGCCAAACGTGTGCTCTTCCAAACACTGTTACAAAGACGAAAATACACAGGCATATTCATGACCACAAGAGTCTCATAAACAGGCAGCTGGTCTGAACATGCACACACACAAACGCACGCTTTTCCAGGAAAAGTAGGCCTATTCTCTCTTGGTTTGAGTGGCATCAACGTAACTGGAACTTTGTGCATTATTGCTTAATCTTAAGTGTTTTGGGAGAGTGGCATTAAGATGAGCCCTACTGTAGTATTTATAAACTACAAGCACTCACTCAATTTATTAGTTACATCTACCTCGCACTTTCCTGCTTTTACCAATTGGAATAGGCCTATGCCATTTTATAAAAAAAATAACTTTTGCCTCTTTCGTACCATTCAACAAGCATAATGATTTTTAATAAAAAGAGTTTAAAATGGATAAAACAAAACGTAAAAATCAAGAAACATTGCTAAAATGAAAGTTCTTCATTATTTGCATACTCGTGTAAAGGCCACAGCCACTCCGCAAAAACAACTGGCTCAGAGATACAAACTGGACAAAATTTACAATGTTTATTTTATTAAGAATGGTGTAATTCAGCATTATGGTTAACACTTCAGCATAATTGATTGGTTCTGAAGGATCGTTTTAAAATATATTCAAACTGAGTTATTTTTAATTGCATTAAATATTACTGTTTTTACTGTTGTTTTGATCAAATGTACATGCAGCCTTGGTGAGCATAAAATACTTCTTTCAAAATGTTTTTAAAAATCTTAATTATTCCAAACATTTGAGTGGCAGGCATGCCTTGATGTCTCAAGCAAGTCTAACAGATATGCATAAATGGTGCCAGACTGCCTACAGAAAAAAAAAAACCCATACAAATAAGACACACACACACACTGTTGCTGGCATGTGTTGTATGTCATGGGGGATAACAATAGCATGACTATTGTTAGTGCAGACCACAGCTGAGATGAAGGCCTTTGAAATGAAGAGAGAACTATAAGGTCAGAGGCTTATGAAGGTAATCTAACCATTCCTCCATGGACAAACCGGAAAAATCTAGTTTGCTTGGTAAATATAAATACAACGGGCCCAACCTTTGCATGCTGACATCAAATGAACCCAAACTCAACTGTACTTTCTTGATATGCAAGAACAATCCTCATTGCTTCTCACGTCAAGCAAGTGCGGTTTGAGCTTCAGTTTACCTTATTTGAAGCTCTCTATTTATGTGCGCTGATCAATGTTTATATGCAAATAAAAGCCTAAATTAAATCTGTTCATCATATAAAGCAATTGTGTCTCTTCAGAAGACTTGGATTAAACCACCTGATTCGTATGGATTACTTCTACAATGTCTTTATGGACTTTTTGCAGAATCAGAGTTTTCATTAAAAATATTTTAATTTGTGTTTCGAAGATGAACAAAAGTCTTATGGGTTTGGAACAACATGAGGGTGAGTGAGTAAATGATAACACTCTGGTAACACTCTTTTGTCTCTCATGTGTTACAGGCTTTGGCATTTTCTTCTGAATCACATTCCTGTTTGGGATCTGTCAGTGGTGTTAGAGGTGCTGTCAAGCACTTATTATCTGTATCTGATACGGTTTTATTGCTTGAAGTGGCCCTGCTTTTGGCTTTGTTCAAGACATTAGTGCCTGGTTTCACAGACAGGGAATATTTCACAGACACTTAAGTAATTTTTATAAACGTGCCTTAGAAACAAACATTACTGGTGTGCTTTTTGAGACAAAACAAAGGCACTGATGTATTTTAAGATTAGTCAGTGCAAGTTTCTTTCAGTTGAAACAGCTCAGACTTACATTTTAGTCTAGGACTAGGCTTAAGCCTTGTCTGTGAAACCGGGGGGTTGTGCCTTGCAGGCCTTAGTCATTAACATAAACATCAGTGCAAATTTGACTCATTGGTAGTGCTAAAAGGTTGAGACGGACCACAAAATTGGTCAGACTGAAGCTCCAAGCCTCCTCTATCTCTGTGCCAATTTTCCCAACTTCTTACCAAATGGTTAGAAAGTTATTAGTGTAAACATCACTGCATATTCTGCCCACTGGAGGCAATAGAGAGTCTGAAAGACAGACCACAAAACTGGTCAGATTGAAGTTCCAAACCTCCTCTACCTCTGTGCAAGTTTTCCCAACTTCTTACCAAATGGTTTGAAAGATATTAGCATAAACATCAGTGCAACTTTGACCCACTGGTGGCGCTAAAAGTTTTGAAAGTCCAACCGCAAATTTGGCCAGATTGAAGCTCCAAACCTCCTCTATCTCTGTGCCAGTTATCACAACTATTTACCAAGCTGTTTGAAAGTTATTAGTGTAAACATAAGTTAATGTTTGACCCATTGGTGGCGCTAGAAGGTTTGAAAAATCTGAACCCAAACTCTGCCAGATTGAAGTTTCAACCCTCTTTTATCTCTGTTCCAATTTTCACAACTTTTCACCAAGCAGTTCTAAAGCTATATAGCGTAAACCTATTTGACCCATTGGTGGCGCTAGAGGGTTTAATCGATCAACCTCAAAATTGGTCAGATTGAAGCTCCAGCCCTCCTCTATTTCTTTACCAGCTATTTAGAAAAACTTGTCTATGAGCAGTGACTTTTATTCAAGTAGAAGAAGAAGAAAAAATTACGGAAAGTTTTTAAATGTCTTTAAAACCTTTTCCTACATTTCCTTCTGAAGGACTCAGGCAGCTCTTTTTAAATGTACATATATAAGGTTTGGCCTTTACTATTAATAAAGTTCTAGTAATTTCGTTGACTTGATTCAAACTGTAGGCACTTCATGCAGTTTTTCCAAGATGAAAATGAGATCGTTTCTGTTTAAGCTAGTTTAGTGGACATGTTCAATATCACAGGTTTAGTTCATCATATAGCATATATAGTCCTATATTTTTTTCTGTAACGTTTTGTTTGAAAACGGTGTTGTATAGGCTACTATCATTCCTTAAATAAACGCCACTGGGTTATTATGTAAAACCCAAAATCATTCATACTTTTTATACTGTATATGACAACCGTATAAACTAACACCAGTGTGTATAATGCGTAGAGTTACGTTAAGTACAGAACTGCAGCGTAAAATGCGCCGATACTCCTGTGCACTACGGCTATATTTAACGGCCCCTGTCGCCATAAAAGGTCGTGAGAGTCGCTTGGACATTCCTGCCATCGCCAATATTATTTTTGTTGTGTGGACAGCAGCTCCCGTTCACAGCGCCGCGCCAGTTTGCGTCTTTGCTTGGATTTGGATCTTGGTTGGGCTCCTGACGCGCTGCTCTGCGGTCCGGCTCCGAGCTGTTTGCAGACCTTTGGCAAGGTGAGATGATCCGCTGCATTAAGTTTGTCAGCTGAAACAGAGGATGTTTTATGAATCTTAATTGATACTAAATCCGAAGGGAAGACTGAGGTTGGTGGTCAAAAAAAACAAACAAAAAAAAAAGATTGAAAATAGATTTATTTAACACGCTGACTTTTTGTGGGGTATGTTGTCGCATTGCATGGGCTGGCAATGGAAACATGATGCATTCTGACACTGATACTGGAAATATAAAAAAAGTTTTAAAAAGTCATATGCATTTAGAATAAGGTAGCCTATATTTAGCAATGCTATTTAAACAATAATGAAACAGCAAAACATGCAAGCATCAACCATAATTTTGGACAATGGAATTGAATATAATCAATGAATTGTGTTAAACTGCAACATATAAATTCCTGACATTAAAAATACCATGAGAACGGCTTAACTTTGCAGTCATTATTAAAAATACATATTTTTTTTAACTCATAATGCATGAAAAAGCTGTTTAAAATTCTTTTTGGTGCAGAAATGATTTAAGTCTAAACTTTGTATATATATATATATATATATCTAAAAGTACTGTCTAAGATATCAGTAAGATCTTACTGCTGTCAAAAAAAAAAAAAAAAACATCCTAGAAAGTTTTGTTTTTTTAATTAAACAAGGTTAATGGCATGTCAACAGAAATTCAAAGCAACAGTGCAAATTGCTAACAAACAAGAAATGCACCAAATATTTTCAGACTAATTTGAAAATTGACTGTGAAGTTAAAGCACTGATCAGTCTTGCCTGTGAAATTATTCCTTACAAATCACTGGGGGTAATACTCATATGTAATGTGTTGATAGAAAGTTTTGAATCTTCTGACTAAAAGAGCTTGAGAACTGAAGACAGTATCTGAGCTAAAGAGGACACAATGTCGGGATCGATACCGTTCTACCAGAAACACCACCGCCATTATGATCGCGGCTACCGTAGCCGAGAGACGGAGTCTGCTATCAGCCAATACCAGCAGAGCTCTAATACTTACTCTTCACATAGCAGCAAAAGCACCAAGGGGTAAGAGAGCATGGAGAGATCTGTCACTTCAGAAGTAAATCCTGCAGTCCCATAACCTGAACCCATTCCAGCAGCCAGCTCTTCCTTATAATACACTTACTGTATCCTTCACCCGAACACAAAAATTACCCACTACTGTCGCCCCTCCTGCTTTGTGTAATCCATATCTCCCACTCAACCTAAAACATCCTTAAAACATGCAGTTTATAGCTGTTTTCTGCATGCAGTGTGCTTGTTGCTGACACTTATAATTTCTTTGGTTGACAGGTCACGTTCACTTTATGATATGTGGGTATGGTATATTGGCTTTACCTTTGGTATATTGGTGTTTTTGATAGTGTTAATAGTGTCATTGGAGTTGGTTCTGCTATCTAGAGGACTTTTAGTTGAGTTTAAACGACGGACAGTCACACATTTACAGTATCTAAGACTTAAGTTTGGTTCCTAGATTCGAAACTTGCTGTGAATCTTTTTAGGCCTTTCTGCGGTTTGGATTTGTGCCTGTATTTTGCTTGATGTGCTCCCTCTGGTCACGTGACTGTTGGCTCGTTTTTGTCTCGGCTGTTGCTTACTGGGTCACTCTGAATGTCAGAGCGTAAGGTTATCTTGTGTGTCTTGTAACGGGACTAATGTAACTGTAGCTTCAAGAATCTTACAACAGCTTGCACAAACTGAAATCTTTCAATGCTCAGTCATGATTTTATTGGTTTCTTCATCACTTGGTTTCATGTCGTAATATAAATAGCATTCATAACATAACTTGCCACTTCATTTGGTGTTCTTGACGTCATGGTGTATTTATAGTGTGTACAGAAGGAGATGTTGTTATGTGTGTCACATGCATTATGCATTTACTTTTCTGAGTTACTGTATGTATGTGTGTGGGATTTAGGGATTTAGAGAGACCAAATGCTTAAAGTGTATTTGATTAGATGTATATAGCACAATGAAAACGGCCTTAATAACAGATACTCATATGCAGAGTTTCACATTTTTTAATCTACAAACAGACACAAGGCGCCTACAGGCTCCCAATGCATGATTTTTATTTTATGAAAAAGTGTTTTTCACTTAAATTACTTAAAAACTTAAATTACTTCTATTCAAATGATAAATAATAATAGTTTACCTGATGCAAACTGTCTTCTTTTCAGAGTTGCACAGATGTACACTATCTTCTTTTCCTATAGTTTTGCAGTCGAATATCCATATTGTTCAGTTAGCCTAAAATTTAGCACCTCCACATGCAAAGCATGAACAGAACGAGACATGTGAACAATTTTTGTGAGAGAACTGTAATGTAAAAATATGACCATCCTGGGTTTTATTATAGGTTCAGAAATTCATTTGGTTTTTATTGAATAATTCTACCAAATAAAATAAAAAGAAAAGATAAATAAATGAAGAAAATAGATGAATGATCAAGTTTATCAAGTTTATTTAGTTAGTTTAACTCTATTCTAGACTGTAATCTTCCAAATTTGAGAATCGGAGCAAGTTTTAAAGTTTGTATATTAGCAAAGTTTCTCAGACTGCTCCTTGGGATGAATTGTTTGTTATATTTCTAATTTGTAAGTCACTTTGGATAAAAGTGCCTGCTGAATGGATAAATGTAAATGTAAGATAGCTTGTTATTGACCACTTGTTTTCCAAATCCACCAGACATTCCTCCATCCCAATGGCCATTCATTCAGGGGACGATATGTCCTCTTTTTTTGCCTAAAATGTCCTAGTTTTGTCTTTGCATTCCTACTGATCCTCTCTACAGTCCTTGTACATTATATGTACGCATATTTGAATTGCTTTGTCCGTTCTCTGTAGATCCCACCTTCTCGCATGCCACGATTGGCTAATTATGTAGAACGCATGCATGCTATTGGTCAAACTACTCTCCAGTCATTACCTTCGGCAAGTATGAAAACAATAGGAAAACATGCAAAGCCAAAACCCAGACATTTTAGAAAGCCCCAGCCAGGACATGTCCAGGAAAAAGAGGACGTATGCATTTGTTTTCAGCCTGAACAGATCCCTCTTTTATGAGCTGCTGTGCTGTACAGGATTTAAGCAGGATGGCAGGTTGGCTCTTAGGTTTCTGTTTCGGCCCCATTAATCACGTTATCCAATGATATATGTGCTCCCAAATGTCTTTGCTAAATTTGGCAAACTGAAAGCTTTTCCATGCTAGGGGAATACAGTTTTTGTCCAATCCCGGTCTTAGTTTTGGATCACTTTATCTGTCCGAAGTGCCCCCACCATCTCTCTCCTGAACTCTTGAATATCTATTTATACACACACTCGTGAGAGGCATGAGGAAGATAGTGATATGTGAAGGGTATATGAAGGGTATAAGTCGTCTGAAGGCATGAGTGTAATGGCAGATTAGAAGCAGAGGAATTGGGATGTAAACACACTATATAAATCTGAACAGTATAATCCAAAGAGCAGAACAAATGTAGTAGGGAAACCAGGCTCAGATTTACATTCTTATGGAAAACAAGACTTGACAGACAGCTGAGGATAACCCAGTGTTTAAATACTCAAAAGATACATGAACAAATGAGCAGCAGGTGTGCTGACTGGAGCGAGTCAGTACTCAGGTGATTGGGACATCTGGTGGTGAACGTCACGTATTGCTTTGGGTGTTACAATGGATGTGCTTTTTCATTTATGAGCACTTATTTGTGTTTGCTATTACTCAGAAAAGAATGCACACGGGTCAGAAATTAAGCTTAGAATTTCATTTAGCAGATTCAATCAAACTTACAAATGAGGAATATCATAGCACAACAAATTCAATTTAATATTGTACTTGTCATACTGAGACCACTTTTTAACAAAAAAAGTTAAGTTCTGCCCTAAGTTCATTTTCACATTGAATATCATGTTGAATATCTATTAACCCTTGAGAAAACAAGTACACTCTAGCATACTTGTAAAAACAGCACTTACTAAGGAAATAATATACACAGAAAAAAAGAAAAAAAAAATATATATATATATACACATACAGGTTTTACCTGTATTTTAAATTTAGAATTTTTTACTTAATTGCATTGTGTTTTAGGGTTAACGGAAATGTCCATAAAATTAATGGATAATGTCTTGGCAGAAAGTTACCAGTACATCTTCCTTTATTTAATTTAAAAGAAAATACTTAAGTGTGAACTGAATGTAATGTTTTTTGGAGACTTAAACGCATGTTAATTCCAATCAAATGAAAATATAAAGTTAAAATTCAAATGCAATTCGAATATTAAATGGAATTAGCTGAACTTTAGAGTGCTTTTTGACCGTTATATATTTCTTTATATTTACCTTCATAATTCTATTGTCTTTGAAATATGGTTAAAGTACCGCTGAATGTACTGACAAGCATTCATGATAAACTAAAATATACTTTAATGCCATTTCTATTGAAACTTGTATGTTGTGTATTTAAATTTATTTGTAATTACACATTTTGTAATGATGAAGTTGCAATTTATTTCATTTAAAATATATTAATCTTAAAAGTAATATCAAATAACACACTACAGTTAAAATTATAATTAAGTACTTTACATGTGCTTTAGTATTTTAGTCAACACATCAAAATAAGTGTACTTCTTTAAAGCACAAAAGGTTATTAAAACAAAAATGTGAATAATGTACAGCTTTTAATTTGGCATTATTACAAAGTGCACTTTTTCAGAGTGTTCTTAAGCATGTTAATGAACAAACTCATAAGAGTATCTCTTTAAGTCATGGGGAGCAGGACACACACGAAACATGGAACAGAGTCTGACAACAAGAGCACTTCCAATACAATTAAGTGCACTTCTTTTCCACAAAGGTTGAATATCCTGTAACTGTATCTTGGAATATTTCACATTGTTGAAGTAAAATGGGCCACAAATGCTGTTTAATGTGGAATTGTTTAGTAGGGAGTAGAAAAGTGGAAGAATTCTACAGATGTTTCTTGGAGATTAGACCACTAAAAAGCATCCCTCAATTGAAAGACAGTCAATGTGAAAGTTCATAGACTTATAATACTAAGTGTAGATTGGAGGGTGTAGATTCTACTGCTTTATACTTTTGACCATTGATGAAGCTTTTATTGGTGGTTTATTGTATTTCAGGATCACTGAGGTGTTTAACCTCCTTCCCACTCACTCCCTTAACCTTATTCAATCTTAGACGTTTTTCAACCTAACATCCTTTCTTCACAACTCCACACCCCTTTTAAAACTCATAATAGCGTGTGAAAGAAGTGCTGGATACTCACACACATGTGTGTATGTTGCGATTTCTGCACCATTGCAGCATCAGAGCTGCCACATACACGGCTCTAGATGAGCCCAGGCTGAGTCCTCTGCCCAAGAGAGTCAAACCAACCTATATGGCCATGGACAAGGAGAACCAGATCATTGGTTATGTGGTGCCCATCTTCAGGGGCAGGTAAAGAAACAATCTGGGATTTGTTTGTGTTGGAACAAACACATGCAGCTGCTCCATACGTCATGATTTCTATTGTTAGCATGTGTTTGGTATTATCAAGCACTTCAATAATATGCTATTTATAGCCCTACACGCACAAAGTTTTAAAAAAGGCTGCACATACTGTAGGACTTTATGGCCATATCCCATTGAAGAAATGATTTAGCATTGTTCTTTAACCCTTGTGAAAAAGAAGTACACTTTAGCATACTTTTAAAAAAGTACTGAAATTATATTCTTATATATTATAATTATATATTGTTTTTGGACACTTAATTACATAATAATTGCAACTAAATGAAAATGTATTATATTTTAAATTTATATTAAATGCAATTAACTGAACTTGAGTGATTTTTGACCCACTTAAGTATAGGACTTAAGTGCATTTTTTATATGTAATAATTAATTAGAATGTCTTTAAAATATGATTAAAGTGTATTTATGCTGAACTAAAATACACTTTAATGTCATTTCAATTTAAACTTGTAAGTCATATATTTAAATATGTGTAATTACACATTTGTAATGATAAATATGCGATTTGATACAAGATATTAATTTTAAATGTAATATCGAACAATTAACTACTCTTAAAATTATAATCAAGTATTTTACATGTGCTTTAGTATGTTAGTCAACGCATCAAAATAAGTGTACTTCTTTAAAGCACAAGAAAAGAGTATTAAAACATAAAAAATGTCCTTTAAAGTAAAACCTTTAATTTGGCATTATTACAAAGTGCACTTTTTAAAAGTCTACTTAAGTGTGTTAAGAAACATAAATTCTTACATGTGATTTAGTATGTTAGTCAACACATCGAAATAAGTGTACTTTAAAAAAAGATTATTAAAACATGATGTAAAATACTTTAAAATAAAACTTAAGTGCCCTTTTATTTCATTAATATTATGCTATCTGCAAGTACCACTTTTTAAAAAAAACATACTTTTAAGATTTGAAGTACACTACAAGTGCACATTTAGTACAATTAAGCACACTTCTTTTTCACAAGGGAAAACCTTTGATGGGAACTATAATTTAACATTGAGAACCCTTTTAATCTATAAAGAAACTTTGAGCTCACTCAGGAATACTATACAGCCAGAATGGCTTTTGGTAAGAAAATTTGCTGCAATAAAGCGATAGTTTACCCAAAAAATGACAATTCTGCCATAATTTACTCACCCTCAAGTTGTTCAAAACCTGTATGAGTTTCTTTCTTCTGCTGAACACAAAAGAAGATATTTTGAAGAATGTTGGTGACCAAATATTTGACGGTAGCCAATGACTTCCATAGTATTTTTTCCATACTGGGAAAAAATACAACTGTTTGGTTACCAAAATTCTTCAAAATATCTCCTTTTGTGTTTGAGGATGAGTAAATGATGACAGAACTTTCATTTTTGGTAAACCCTCCCTTTAAGGGTGGATGTGAGGTTGCCATAGCAAGGTGTTGGAAGTTCTCTTAAAGAACACAGATGTGACGTGGCTTTCTGTTTTGTTTTGTTTTCATAACCATTGTGTATATATAATGTGACAAAATGTATGTTGTATTGTGCTGCACTGCTTTGTTTAATTCGAGAGACGTGTGAATGTGATGCTACATAATTCCCCCCTCAGTCATGAGTTTCAAAGCGGCCTATCAGACACTGAGGAAGCGCGCGCTAAAGAGAGCGCTGGCTATCTGGCACGTCGTGACCTCTTCGCTAGCGGCGTGGAGTCGGAGCGCATCGAACACAAGTCCCACAGAACCGTCATGAGGGAGTCAGCAGAGCGCATCTCGCTTAGCAAGAGGGTCAGTGGAGATCCTAGTCCCTCAACACATAACTCACTACTGCTGTTGTGGTTAGAGATTAAATATACATTTCTCTTCATAACAGTTCTTAATGAATGGCTATTTGTCAAGTAACACTTCTCACTTAAATTTACATTATAAGAACTACAAACTGTTGGACTGAGCTGCAATACGGCTCTGAGTGCTCTTTTGCTTTATTACACTTGTGAAAAAGAAGCACATACTTTTAAAAATAGTACTTACTATGTAAATAATATACTATGAAATAATATACTTAAGTGCGAACTGAATTAAATACTTTCCTACAATTAGCTGCATTTTATTTGCAATTAAATTATTATTTTTTTTATTTAACTTTGATTTTAAGTTTAAGAGCATATTTAATAGAAATAGTTGAATGCTAGAGTGCTTTTTGACCCATTTACATAGGACTTAAGTACGTCTTTTATTAACAAGCTTTTATGGTAACTAAATTATACTTTAATGTAATTTCTGTTGAAACTTGTATGTCATATTTAAGTATATTTGTATTTACACATTTGTAATGATAACGTTGCAATGTATTATATTTAAAATATTTTAACTTTAAATGTAATATCAAATAACACACTACAGTTAAAATTGTAATCAAGTACTTGACGTGCTTTAGTACGTTAGTCAACACATCAAAATAAGTGTACTTCTTTAAAGCAGAACAAAAGATTCAAACAATGATTTAAAATATACTTTAAAGTACAATTTTTAATTTGACATTATTAGTCACTTTTTAAAAGAGTACTTAAGTGTGTTCAGAAACAGTCATGAAAGTTTCTCTTAATTCACTTGTGTTTTATTTCATTAATATTATATTATCTGCAAATACCATTTTCTAAAAATATTCTTTTAAGATTTGAAGCACAGTACAAGTGCGCATTCAGTACAATTAAGTGCACTTCTTTTTCACAAGGGTAGAAAAGCATCTCTATTTGAACAATCGCCTAACCCTGTGTATTAATCTTCAGCGTATAACTCAATTGACTCCAATGGTAACTCAAATTGTACATCTGATGGATAACAAAACAGTCAAAAACATCCCATTTAAATGTAAATAGACACTCATTTTATTCAGAAATTGTAGATTATTTTTAGTAGTGCAGCAACATTTTATGATTTAAGCTTTTATTTAAAAAACTCATATATTTGCAAACTGATTTGGCCCATGGGTTACACTTTATTTTAAGGTGCCCTTGTTACTGTGTAATTATACAGTACTGAGTAATATTAATTAACTACATGTACTTACTATATGGTTAGTGTTAAGATTAGGGTTAGGGTTTGTCTTAGGGTTACTTGCATAATTTATTGTTATTACAATAGTAAGTACATGTACAGTAACGTGTAACAAGGATACCTTAAAATAAAGTGCTACCAGCCCATGTTACTAAACACAAAGGTAAAAATACACACTCAATTAACAAATGAGTTTTATTGTTTCAAGTAATTTACTATTTGAAGATGGGAATTTTATTGTTTGAACTAATTGTGCAACAGAAGATGCATTTGAGTTTGCTTTGATTGGAGGCTTTGAGGAACACTATTAAACTCATGCATACTGTATGTTCCCTATTTTTAGATAGAAAAAGATCAAGAAAGTATCACGACACAAACTTTATTTAGTTCTGATCCTGGGGCCAACAAACCGTGCCACCGTGGTGCCGGATTTCAAGGGTTGTAATGTTTTATGTGGTTGTGTGGTGTGTTAATCTGTGGTGTGTGTTAAAGCGACTATGAAACTACTGTTGTCGACAAGTGATGTGCTGATCATCGCTGAGGGAATCCTCAAGGAGATTATATTCACACTGACACGACTGGACAAATAAAACCAATGATTCTGTTGAACAGCCTGAGTCTCAATGGACACATTATAAATGCTTAATGCATTTCGTGCAAATATTTTGTGAATCTGTTATAAATAGAAGATGCAAATGGAAGAATCACATTCATGTTTACCATGCATTACTGTAATTGCTCTGGGTGGATTTTCTCTTTGTAAACAATCATCTTTTGGTAAGTCACCATAACATTCTTTGTCAAAAAGAAGTGCACTTAATTGTATATAAAAATATATAGGTATATAAATATTTAATTATATAAAAAACTAACTGCAGATAATATTAATGAAATAAAGGTCAACTAAGTGACTTAAAGAGACACTTTCATCACTGTTTCTTAACACACTTAAGTACACTTTTAAAAAGTGCACTTTTAATAATGTAAAATTAAATGTTTCCAAAATTAAGTACACTTATTTTGATGTGTTGACTAACAAAAGTCACTTTTATGTGTATCATGTAAAGTACTTAATTATAATTTTAATTTTAACTGTAGTGTATTATTTAATATTACATTTAAAGTTAATATATTTAAATGTACTAAACTGCAAATGAATCATTACAAATGTATAATTACAAATGTATTTAAATACATGACATAGAAGTTTCAATAGAAATTACATTAATATTTGAGTTTACCATAAATGCTTGTCAGTACATTCATCAGTACTTTAACCTTATTTCAAAGACAATAGAAGTAGTTACTTATAAATCAAATTTCATATAAAATGTACACTTAAGTCCTACTTAAGTGAGTTAAAAACACTCTAAAGTTCAGCTAACTGCATTTAGTATAAATTTAACCTATAATACATTTTCATTTAATTGCAATTAACATGCAATTAAGTGTCCGAAAACATTACATTCAGTTCACACTTAAGTATATTCTTTTCAAGTATATTATTTCCATAATAAATGCTCTTTTTAAAAGTGATGATAAAGTGCACTTCTTTTTCACAAGGGATATTTATGACAGGAGCTGAAATTTTTAACTTTGCACGAACAAGGTTAGTAACATGTATGATGTTTGATTCTTGTGGTTATATTTTTAGAACAGTATATTTTTTAGAACGGTATATTTTAATATTCAATTCATTGCAATGCCCTGCTTTTTAGATTTCCATTGTAAGTGAATTAGCCTGAGTCTCAATGGACACATTATAAATGCTTAATGCATTTCGTGCAAATATTTTGTGAATCTGTTATAAATAGAAGATGCAAATGGAAGAATCACATTCATGTTTACCATGCATTACTGTAATTGCTCTGGGTGGATTTTCTCTTTGTAAACAATCATCTTTTGGTAAGTCACCATAACATTCTTTGTCAAAAAGAAGTGCACTTAATTGTATATAAAAATATATAGGTATATAAATATTTAATTATATAAAAAACTAACTGCAGATAATATTAATGAAATAAAGGTCAACTAAGTGACTTAAAGAGACACTTTCATCACTGTTTCTTAACACACTTAAGTACACTTTTAAAAAGTGCACTTTTAATAATGTAAAATTAAATGTTTCCAAAATTAAGTACACTTATTTTGATGTGTTGACTAACAAAAGTCACTTTTATGTGTATCATGTAAAGTACTTGATTATAATTTTAATTTTAACTGTAGTGTATTATTTAATATTACATTTAAAGTTAATATATTTAAATGTACTAAACTGCAAATGAATCATTACAAATGTATAATTACAAATGTATTTAAATACATGACATAGAAGTTTCAATAGAAATTACATTAATATTTGAGTTTACCATAAATGCTTGTCAGTACATTCATCAGTACTTTAACCTTATTTCAAAGACAATAGAAGTAGTTACTTATAAATCAAATTTCATATAAAATGTACACTTAAGTCCTACTTAAGTGAGTTAAAAACACTCTAAAGTTCAGCTAACTGCATTTAGTATAAATTTAACCTATAATACATTTTCATTTAATTGCAATTAACATGCAATTAAGTGTCCGAAAACATTACATTCAGTTCACACTTAAGTATATTCTTTTCAAGTATATTATTTCCATAATAAATGCTCTTTTTAAAAGTGATGATAAAGTGCACTTCTTTTTCACAAGGGATATTTATGACAGGAGCTGAAATTTTTAACTTTGCACGAACAAGGTTAGTAACATGTATGATGTTTGATTCTTGTGGTTATATTTTTAGAACAGTATATTTTTTAGAACGGTATATTTTAATATTCATTTCATTGCAATGCCCTGCTTTTTAGATTTCCATTGTAAGTGAATTGCTGTATACTGTTTTTTTGTTTTTGTTTTTACAAATCAAGGGATTAGTCAAAATATTCTGATGCAGTTTGTATCTTGACATAGTAATTGCGTTTGCTCATAAATGCATAACTTTTTTTTCCCTGCATGTTCATAATGCATTTATGACCAAAGAATGTTGCCACTTTCTGAACACTATATGAATGGCTGCATGTCCTCAGATATATGAGAACGAAGAGTACCATAAGCATCTGAACGAGGACAGCCTGATGCACACACCGGAGTTTGTGATCAAGCCACGATCCCACACTGTTTGGGAGAAACAGTGTGTGCGACTGCACTGTACCATCTCAGGATGTCCTGAACCACGCGTTGTTTGGTGAGTTCACACACACAAACACACATGCACATACTTACACAACACATGCACATGTGTACACAAACACACATGCTTAGAGATGTACAGTATACGACTAATGATGGTAGCATTACGTAAAGATTATAATGTGATAAGCAGTGTTATTTTAGTATGATTGAGATACCTATCGATACTTCACTTGTACTGCGTCTGCTAAGACACTATGGGGGAAAACTCCTTTTTCTCTGATGACTGAAGCCTTTTCAATAACGCAGTGTAACTGCACAGCCATTGGTTCGTGCAGTAAATTAAAAACGAACCAATGGCTCGGCAGCAGAGCTGCATGAGTCTATAGCGACGAAGCTCGCCAGAGCCCGCCAGAATGGGCGGGGCCATCTGGCTATATAGAATAAACTGTTAAAACATTCAGATCACAAGTGTTCATGTTTTTGAACACACCAGATTTAAGAGTGTGACATGAAGGTAAGGCATACATGATATATGCTATACTGCATGAAATGCTTCGAAAGCGAACACAGTGATGTGAGTGACCAGGTATATGATGAAGTGGCATGTGCTGTTGTTGAAAGAAACTTCAGAGGGTGAAGAAAATTGTGATGCTGAGGTGAAAGATGGGACACTTACACAGAGATCACACAGAGATAAATGATTTCTCAGATGTGACATATGGTGGGGGGGCCATCTGGCTATATAAGCGGGCATTTCGCCATAGGATCTCAGATTTCTTCTCCTTCGGTGACGACTTCAAGATCTTTGCTCTACAAGACTCAAAGCCCTTTGCCGTGGAAGAGCCCAGCAGTGGATCAAGACCTCTCTGCTCGTCTGACTCGCCACTCCCCAGCCGCTTTCAGCTCCTGCAGCAGTCACGGTCTCTTCTGGTCCCCTGCCGCCACCATCTTGCCGGCTGAGCCCCCGCATGCCTCACTCTCTCCACATAGAGAGGCTTCCCCCGTCCTCTTCTCTCACCCGGACCAGCATCCCTCTGCGGCTGCGAGCGATCTGGTCTCGTTCGGTGGGAGCGAGTGTGATGCCATGGTCGACAGCATGTCGTTGGCTACTTCTGACGCGGAGGAGCTGCCGGGCTCGTCCTACGACCCCGCCTCCCTGCCGTCTGCAGAGTCCAGCATGGGCATGGGCGCCGAACTTTTCCGCGTCCTGTCTAAAGCTGTGGAGGAGCTGGGTTTAGAGTGGTCTCCACCGGAGGAGCCCACCCGTAGCTGCCTGGATGAGTGGTTCTTGCCGGGGCGCTGTCAGGCCACTTGACAACGGGCTTTACCATTCTTTCCTGAGGTCCATGAAGAGCTGACCAGATCGTGGCGCGCCCCCTACTCGGCCCGCCTACGTGCCTCCTCTTCATCCGACCTCACGTCTGTCGACGGAGCCGAAGAAAAAGGGTACGACAGACTGCCTCCCCATGATGAGTCAGTGGCCACGCATCTCTGCCCGCCCACGGTCATCGGCTGGAAGGCAAAGGCCGCTCACCATCTAAGCCATGTAGGACGAGTTCAGCTCTCACAGCGCCATTCCCCCTCACCCGGGGATGTGAGCGCCTCTTTCAGTGTGATCGTGATGTGAGCGCCCATATCAGTGTCTCCACATGTCACCTCCCTACGGGAAGGATGTGGCCTCTGTAGCACCCTTCTCTGGAAGGCTCACTTCCCCATCGTTACTGCCAAGCTGTAACAACAAATAAGCAATCTTTCATTGAAGGTCGAAATCCGTTCTGTTAAGAAATTTCTGTGGTGAAAGGAACAGCGACTTGGCTATCATGTCAGTTAAACTTTATTTTATTTCGAGTAAGAAAATTATTTTGAAATCAAAATTGCCTCCATTCAGGGAACGTGTACACAACACCATTTTCAACTAAAAACTGAAACATTTTAATGCGTTTTGGCATTTACATGATAAAGGCATTTTAGGGGCCTGAAAACTTTTCAAAACAGGTTTCAAAGTGCAAGTTTTTGAAAATGATACCGTTATCATCTCCATGTGAAAAAACCCAAATTCGTGAAATAGTGACGTCATGCGCATACATACAGTATTACGTGTTCTTTAGAAAGTAGCATCGCCAACTACTGGCCTAACATGCACAATGCAGCATTTTTAGTCATTTTTACCTGCCATTTCTTTGTTATATTTGTGAAATGCACTAGCAATTTCTGAGTGAAAATGATTTCAGTAGCAGTTTTTTTTTGTGCATTTGTATTTGGATTGAGATGCTGTGGAGGGTAAACTTGGCCTTTTCAGTCAAAAAGCTCTGATGCACTACATTATCCCAAAGTATTTAAATTCGTTCTTCTCTCTTAGGTACAAGAACAATGTTAGTATTGATCCGATGGCCACGCCAGAGAAGTACAAAGTGGAGAGCAGCTACAGCGTCCACTCCCTGGAGATTAACAAGTGAGCGCACATGGACTTCATCCTCTTAAAGCAGATAGAGTGATTTGCAGTGGTCAGGTGTGCAACATGTCTGTCTGTAATTCCAGGTGTGACTTCGATGACACTGCACAGTATCGTGTGTCGGCCATGAACAGCAAGGGCGAGACCTCTGCTTTTGCTTCTGTTGTCGTCAAAAGTAGGTCTGAAATAAATCATCCTAAAATCTTCCTAATGAGAAACACTAAACAGCCGTAATAGCAACGACACTAATGGACAAATAGTCTGGAATAATTAAGATTTTTTTAATGTTTTTGATTAAGTCTCTTCTGCTCACCAAGGCTGCATTTATTTGATCAAAATACAGTGAAAACAGTGTGAAATACTGCAATTTAAAAGAACTGTTTTCTATGTGAATATGTAATAAAATGTAATTTATTTCTGTGATCAAAGCTGAATTTTCAGCATCATTACTCCAGTCTTCAGTGTCACATGATCTTCAGAAATCATTCTAATATGCTGATTTGCTGCTCAAGAAACATTTCTGATTATTATCAATGGTGAAAACAGCTGTGCTGCTGAATATTTTGTGGAAACTAATACACTACCATTCAAAAGTTTGGGGTAAGTGAGATTTTCTTTTTAAAAAACAACTTTTATTCAGCATGAACACAATAAATTTATCAAAAGTGACAGTAAAGACATTTATAATATATTAGTTTCAACACTGATAATAATAAGAACCACTATTAATATCAAATAATATTAAGTGTAAATAATAATTAATAATAATTGAGCAAATCAGCATATTAGAATGATTTCTGAACGATCATAATAATGTATGAATAATGTTTTTGATCAAATAAATGCAGCCTTGGTGAGCAGAAGAGGCTTCATCAACATTAAAAAAATGTGTAATTATTCTAGACTTTTGACCCATAATGTACAGCTTTCACAAAGAAGTCCTGAATTGTAGTCTATTAAAAGTACCAATAAATCAATTTATTTACTACTCAATACAAAATGTATTTTGGTATGTATTTATTGTCCTATTCATCTGTTTTATTAAGATGGGTTTTAAAGATTTTTTAACTTGAAATGTGTAAAAATGACCTGGTATGGATCAAATCCAATGGTTAACACTTTTACTTGGCATCTACATTCATGTTTTTTTGTATTCATTGCCATTACTTATGTCCCACTGATGGTCATAAATATGGCAGATCAGTGGAAAAAGTCATGTGAGTGAAATATATGAATAGTGAGTAAGTCAAATTCTGTTTACAGTTTCATTAGAAGAATGAAAATACGTAGTTTCTGTTATGGAAGGTCACTTGCTAAGTGTTTCAAAAGGGGTCATAAGGGGATCATAAGGAAAACATTGTCCAATTATCTGATAAAACATGAAAAATCTTGACGTTTTGTGTGATATGACATTTAGGATTCAAAGGAGAAATTGATGAGTTTCTGCCATCTCCCAGACTCCGTAAGTATTTCAGTATAAAACCTGGTACTTAATTGCTCTCTTTCACAATTTCTGTATATGTGCTTTGCTGAAGTGTGTGAAGCTGTGAGCATGAGGCTAAAGTTTTTCATGTAAGCTGGCTAATGGCTATTTTGTTTCCGATTCGCTGGTGCAGAAAGCAGAAAGTTCGGCTTCAAAGGTAACCTTGGTGAAGGTTTTTCTATAAAGTTCTTTTAATGTTTCAGTCTCGTCTGGTTTACCTGATCATCTTATATGCATGATCGTCTCTTCTCATTGTTTTCTTCTCTATCTTGATGAATTTGTCTAATATAGATAACATTCAGGATTGCTTTGATAAGTTACATGCAATGTGCTGGATTAGTATCCATTTTTAAATATGGAATTGCTATTATCCCAATATTGCATGTTTGTCTTGAAAAATGAAACATTCAATCGTTCAACATTTAAGCTTTACAATAAGGCCAGTATTACATTACTTGATAGAGTCAGTTTGGAGAATAAAAAAGAACTGTTGAAAAAATCTAACGAAGTATCACAGAAAATAATTCCATCACTTCTCATAACAAAAAACAAACAAAAGCATGTTTACTGTAATGCACTTGCAATGTAAATCTAGAGGCAACTGGACCCTTAAACTTCCATTGTAAAGTGCATTACTGTAAACATTTTTATTTTTGTTTGTTATATGTAAGCTGGAATATTCCTTTAATATTCCTTCATATTCCTTTAAAAATGTAAAAAATATTTCAGACTAGACAAGGCTCGTATGGAAGCTCGTTTCCACCATGGGATAAATAAATGAATAAAAGGTAATTAAGACTTTTTATCTCACAATTCTGAGAAAAAAGAAGTCAGAATGGCAAGATATAAACTCAGAATTCTGACATTTTTCTCACAATTCTGAGTTTTCTTAAAATTTTGACTTTTCTTTAAATTCTGATTTTACATCTCGCAATTCTGACATTTTTCTTGCAATTGCGAGTTTATATCTTGCCATTTCAACTGTTCATCTCACCAAGGCTACATTTATTTGATAAAGAATACAGTAAAAAAAAGTTATCTATTTGTTTTCATAAATTATCTATTTGTTTTCTACTTGAATATATATTTTACATCGCACAATTCTGACATTTTTTATTGCAATTCCGACTTTTTTTTTTACTCAGAATTAAAAAATTTCTGTCGCAAATCCGACTTTTTTTTTTTACTCAGAATTCAAATATTTCTGTCGCAATTCCGACTTTTTTTTTTTACTTGGAATTCAAATTTTTCCGTGTCGCAATTCCGACTTTTTTTTTTTACTCAGAATTAAAATTTTTCCGTGTCGCAATTCCGACTTTTTTTTTTTACTCAGAATTCACATTTTTCTGTCGCAATTCCGACTTTTTTTTTACTCAGAATTCAAATTTTTCCGTGTCGCAATTCCAACTTTTTTTTTTTACTCAGAATGTAAAAAATTTCTGTCGCAATTCCCACTTTTTTTTTTTAACTCAGAATTCACATTTTTCTATGTCGCAATTCCGACTTTTTTTTTTTTTTAATTCAGAATTCTAATTTTTGGGCAATTCTCGCAATTACGAGTTTATATCTCGCAATTATGACTTCTCATCTCAGAATTGCGAAACATGGGCGAAACGATGTGGAAACCAGCTTCCATACTGAGGACATTAGATTTCTTGCAGAAATATCTTGTGTTTATTATTTCCATTTCCAGTTTCTGTGTGTGTATTTGTATTCATCTTCATGGAAGTGTCTCTGTTTTCTATTCTTTGTTTGTCTCAGCATTGTCAATGCAAATGTCTTCCTATAGTCACTAGCATTCACCGCTCTTTTGTTATCTTATTGTGTTTTTTATGAATTTGTTTTCCACCTAAACGATGCCTGCTGTCAGTCTCCTTTCAATACTTGATGGTGTTCATGTGAAAAGTTTCATTGTACATGAACTGTATGTTTCATTATATATACGTGCGCATATGTATGCATCATTTTCCACAAGGTGAATGAATCCTGGAGTCTTACCCATCGATACTGCATTTTCATAAAATAAAGCTGAATTGAATGTGCGTGTGCACTGCAGCACCTTGTCTGGAGTATGGAGTGACATTCGAGACGCACCTCGTGGAGAAGTTTGGTGTGTCTTTTGGACGTGAGGGTGAGACGTTGAGTTTTGGCTGCTCTGTTATCATCTACCCGTCACTGCAGCGCTTCCAGCCTGAGATAGAGTGGTACAGAGATGGTAAGACTGTAATCTCTGATAGCGTCTCTCGCAAAATTGAGCGCTCATCAAATTACTGATATTTGTGCCATTATTTAACGCCCCAAAAAAAGCATGTCTTAAAGCCGACACTAATTTGCGCTGCTCTTGGTAGATTGCGCTGGTCATTATGGAAATGATTTGGTTCTTTAATGTGCGTATTGTAAGTAAATCACACGCAGAATTTTCCCATCAGCGCTTTTATGGAATTGCGCTCTAACGCTAATTTGCCCTGTTTAGTAAATCTGGCCCCAGATATTATTGCTAATATTGGCCAATCCTGATATCAATTTACAATGCATATTTAATCTTTACTTCTTGCAAATTGGTGTATACATTACCAGTCAAAAGTTTGAAATATTTACGATTTTTTAATGTTTTTGAAAGAAAGCTCTTATGTTCACCAAAGCTACATTTCTTTGACAAAGAATACTGTAAAACAGTAATATTGTGAAATACTATTACAATTTAAAATATCTGTTTTCTATGTGAATATATTGTAAAATGTAATTTATTTCTGTGATCAGAGCTGAATTTTTAGCATCATTACTCCAGTCTTCAGTGTCACATGATCTTCAGAAATCATTCTAATATGCTGATTTACTGCTCGATTATTATCAGTTACTATTGGTACTCTTTTTTTAATAGTTAAACACATAAAACATAGAAACAGGATAGCGCCCTCAAGTGACCAGTCCAGGGCACCACAACCAAACACTGTGACAAATAATGGTTCTGATTATTACCAATGTTGAAACAGTTGTGCCACTTCATATTTCTGTGGAAACTGTGAAACATTTTATTTTTCGGGATTCTTTGATGAATAGAAAGTTCAAAAGATTCAAAAGATATTTGAAATATAAATCTTTTAGAATATTATAAAGGTCTTTATTGGCAGTTTACTTTTAAGTTTACTTTAAGTTTACTTTTTTGATCAATTTAATGCATCTTTGATGAATAAAAGTATCATTTTTGTTTTTTTACTTGGTAGTGCAGCACTGTTTCCACAAAAAAATATTAAGCAGCACAGCTGTTTTCAACATTGATAATAATTTAGAAATTTTTCTTAAACACCAAATCAGCATATTAGAATGATTTCTGAAGATAATGTAATGTAAAAGAGTAATGATGCTGAAAATACAGCTTTGATCACAGAAATAAACAGATTTTTAAATAAATTGTTCACATAGAAAATAGTTTTTATAAATTGTAATAATATTTCATAATTTTACTGTTTTTACTGTATTTTTGGTCAAAAATGCAGTCTTGGTGAGCATAGACAAATTGGACATTTTTATATTTAAAAAAATTCATATTTTTATATTTTTATATTAAAATTTTTCAAATCAAATTTTTATGTCGTTCAAAAACATAAAAAACTTTTGACTGTATATTTTACTTTATATACTAAAATGTATTTTCTGCCTAGTGACGCATAATGCATGGATGTATTTATTTGTATTTTAGATAAACTGCTGGTGCCATCAAAATGGGTTCAGATGCACTGGAGCGGCGACAGAGCGACACTCACTCTCTCACACCTCAACAAGGAGGACGAAGGACTCTACACACTTCGCGTCATCACCAAATCTGGCTTTGAGACACATTCAGCGTATGTCTTTGTCAGAGGTGAGGACCAATACACTCAGCTATTTCTAATTGAGCCTGCTGCATTATTACAGGCCAAAATATTCATGCTGGTAATATTGTGACACACTCTTTTGGCTTGTACAGTGTGTGAGATTTGCATGTCTCTGTAAGCCTCCCTTCCCAGCTCATGTTTCTTTCTAAATTTATCATGCTGTGTCTGTGCCGTCATGACATTCAGATGAAGGAGCTGTGAAACTGCCTCGACGAATGAAGTTCTCAACACTCCCCTAGTTAAAATACTGCAATAATACACTTTATAAAACTTCATTTGCATTTAGATTTTAATCAACAACACTGTACCATGCTTTGTGAAAAAGAAGTACACTTTAGCATACTTTTAAAAAGAGTACTTAATTATACACTTGCTATACAAGTAAACAAAAAACTGGTGCAGAAAGTTTTCACGAACAATTACAAAGAATTAAATGCAAAATGAACACCCTCCAATAATCTTTATATACAACTTTGAAAAATCTTTTTTTTTTTTTAGAGTTTTATATATATATATATATATATATATGTATATATATATATATATATGTGTGTGTGTGTATAATGTAAGTGCAAACTGAATGTAATGTTTACAGACATTTAACCGCAAAAGTTAATTACAATTAAATGATAATTTGTAGTAAATGCAGTTAGCTGAACTTTTAAGTGCTTTTATGATCCACTTAAGTAGGACTTATATGTAATTTTAATAATAACTTCTTTGAAATATAGTTAATGTGTAAAAGCAGGTTCAAGCTTATATGGTAATTAAAATATACTTTGTATGTATGTTAGTCTACACATCAAAATAAGTGTGCTCCTTTAAAGCACAACAAAATATTATTAAAACATAATTTAAACAGTAAAACTTAATTTGACATTATTACAAAGTGCACTTTTTAAAAATGTATTTAAGGGTGTAAAGAAACAGCCATGAAAGTGTCTCTCTTTAAGTCACTTAAGTGGCCTTTTATTCCCAGCTCATGTTTCTTTCTAAATTTATCATGCTGTGTCTGTGCCGTCATGACATTCAGATGAAGGAGCTGTGAAACTGCCTCGACGAATGAAGTTCTCAACACTCCCCTAGTTAAAATACTGCAATAATACACTTTATAAAACTTCATTTGCATTTAGATTTTAATCAACAACACTGTACCATGCTTTGTGAAAAAGAAGTACACTTTAGCATACTTTTAAAAAGAGTACTTAATTATACACTTGCTATACAAGTAAACAAAAAACTGGTGCAGAAAGTTTTCACGATCAATTACAAAGAATTAAATGCAAAATTTTTAAGTAGAAAAACTGATATAGTGAACACACTCCAATAATCTTTATATACAACTTTGAAAAATCTTACACATCAAAATAAGTGTGCTCCTTTAAAGCACAACAAAATATTATTAAAACATAATTTAAACAGTAAAACTTAATTTGACATTATTACAAAGTGCACTTTTTAAAAATGTATTTAAGGGTGTAAAGAAACAGCCATGAAAGTGTCTCTCTTTAAGTCACTTAAGTGGCCTTTTATGTCATTAACATTATCTGCAAGTACAGTTTTATAAAAATATGCTTTTAAGATTTGAAGTACACTACAAGTGCACATTTAATACAAATAAGTGCACTACTTTTTCACAAGGGATAGCATGCAGTTGCTTGATGTAAACTAATTGCAATTGCTTAAATTATTATTTCAGACTTTATTTCATTTGTGTGTTTGTTAGATGCTGATGCAGAGGTTGCTGGAGCTCCTGGTGCACCGTTAGATGTTCATAGTCTGGATGCTAATAAAGATTATGTCATCGTTACCTGGAAGCAGCCTGCTGTGGATGGAGGAAGCCCCATTTTGGGATATTTTGTTGACAGGTCACTGCATCTGTATACAAACAACACACAAAATCAAATAAAAAGCTCTAATGAAGATGTTATCCATATAGATTTCTAATGTATAATCGTCCCCTTGGAATTATAAGGTTCTATCTGCATTCCGAGTAGTTCTGAGATATTGAGCTTCAAAGTTTTTTTGCATTCCATTCGACTGTGTAGATAGAACCTTTTTGTTTTTTAAATAAAAAGTCCCAAAATGTACACAACATTAAAAAATCGACCACATAGTGTAAATAAATTGTCACAGAATAAGAATATGTGAATAACTCAATTTTGACAAAAATGCCAGATAGAACCTTATAATTCCAAGGGGACGTAATGTAAATAAACATCATATAGGCCAGAAACAAACACTAAATCTCATATCACCAGAAAATCCAGCTGAAACCAGCATAACGCAGTTTACTGTATATAACATCAGCTGGTTTTCTTTAGAATCTAGTTGTCGATGGATATTGAAAGTAGCTTAGCTAGAATATGGAATTATTTTTTACTATACCTTTTGATCAAACTGCAAAAAGTGTCTTGTTTTCCAGTGCAAACCTCTAAAGATTCTTAAATCAAGATACAAAAGCAAAATGACTTAAGGGCCCGGTTTCACAGACGGGGCTTAGAGTAAGCTAGGATTAGATCAAAGTTCAATTAGGACATTTAAGCAATTTTTATGAAAGTGCTTAGTAAAAAACATTACTGGTGTGCATCTTGAGACAAAACAAAGGCACTGACATGTTTTAAGATTAGTCAGTGCAAGTTTCTTTCAGTTGAAACAGATCAGACTTACATTTTAGTCTAGGACTAGGTTTAAGCCTTGTCTGTGAAACCGGGGGAAGAAGTCTTATTTTCTGAGAAACTGATTAAAATGAAGTGAGTTTATGTTTGAAAAAGAACAAATATCTGCAAGTGGGCTCAGAAAAATCAACTTAATTCAAAGGGAGATTTCATGCTAGATTCATATCCCATTGACAGAGATATGTTCTTGTTTTAAGCATAAACTGACTTCATTTTGTTCAATTTCTCAGAAAACAAGACTTCATATCTTCATTTTGCATCTAAAGTAAATGTATCTTCATTTAAGGATGTTCAGATATTTGTATTGGAAAACAAGACAACCTACCGACTGAGGAAGATACTATTTTTATTTTTGCTTTGCATGCAACATTTAATGCCATGACTATGAAGACATTCTGCTTTGATTTGAGACCTTTTTAAGGCCTTAATTTGTGGAAGGGAGAATTAAGACTTTTTAAAGACATGTTTAAAACCAACAGAAACCCCGTAGAACATCAGATTGTAATTCTTGGTGCATTAAAATGTATTTCCCTCCCTTTTCTCACTGCAGGTGTGAAGTTGGCATGACACACTGGGCGCAATGCAATGACACTCCGGTGAAGTTTGCACGCTTCCCTGTAACTGGTCTCGTGGAAGGACGAAGCTATGTGTTTCGAGTGCGTGCGGTGAACAAGGCAGGCATGAGCCATTCATCTCGTGTGTCTGAACCAGTAGCCGCTATGGACCCTGCAGACCGCACAAGAAAAGGTACAACAAGATCAACAGAGCAAATACACAAAAACTAAAAGCAAAGGAAGCAATAAAATATACTGTTGTTCTGTAGGTCCCTTTGCTCCTTGGACTGGACAAATCATTGTGACTGAGGAGGAGCCTGTGGGTGAGAAATTTCAAATTAAAATGATTAGGGATGCACAATATTATTGGACTGATATCGGAATCGGCCGATAATGGCTTTAAATGTAAATATCGGCATCGGCCCGATATGAAAAATTATGCCGATATGTCTTGCTGATAAGAGGAATGCGTTAACTCACATGTGCTCAGAGCCTTCTTTGATCATATTTACCAAGGGTGCCAATAATTCTGACCACGACTGTAAATATCGGCATCGGCCCGATATGAAAAATTATGCCGATATGTCTTGCTGATAAGAGGAATGCGTTAACTCACATGTGCTCAGGATGTGCTAGCGATTAGATCAGGTTAGCAGTGTGGCTCATTCTTGAAGCAAAGTTTTGTCTGAATGATGATTAGATTGACTGTTTGGATCGCTGCATTTAATCTGTGAAAGCTTGTATGACGCGTTTGGTGTGTGATAGAGTAAACAGTAATAGCACGTGCAGCGGGTCCTAACGCCTGCTCAGTAATGAGTTTTAATTCATAGGGGGCACTGTTGGCCTACTTCTAATTAAATTAAAAGTAAAATAGCCTAAACAAATAACATTTAGACTGTGTTTCTGATTAAATAAAGTAGTAATTGATGTCATAAAATCATGAGTATGTTTTGATTTAAAGGTCAGAAGCTATAGCTTACATGAAAAAAAAATTTAAAACTTGTAAATTAAATAATTTTATATATACTGATTTATTCATTAATGTGTAATATGTTTTATTTTTTTAAATAAATCACAAGCTCTAAAAGATTTTCAGAATTTTTACAACTCTTTTGCTTTAGACCATCTACAAATGTTAGGGTTAACCTTGCATCTTTCTGGGGGAAAAAATGCAGTGATTGATATATAGTTAATTTATAGTTATTTTCAAAGCTTCAATTTACTGTCAAAAAACCTTCATTATTGTTTATTTAATTCTAACAAATAAGTTCTTGTTAAAAACTAACCAAAATTTAAAATATTTTAATAAAATATAAAATATAGACTTGGTGTTGTTTCCAAACAAAAGGAAATATATCGGTATCGGTATCGGCCAAAATGAGTTGAAAAATATCGGATATCGGCAAAAATCCAATATCGTGCATCCCTAAAAATGATCTTTTTTTAGGGTTTGCACTGTTATTAAAAACCTTTAAATATAGAGAATACTATAGAAAGTTCAGCTAAACATATGATTCTGTAATTCGTAATAGAGAGAAACTTAATAATTATGACTTATACTAATTTTATTGAGAAAATGTCTCATATTGACTTCCTGTACCATAATAATAAGAAACTTTCCCATTAATATGTCTTAGTATCTCATAATAATGAGAATCTTTCTCATAATAAGGGCTTAGTGTCTCATTACAGAGAAAATTTATCGTAATAATGACTTTCTATATCATAATGAGAAACTTTCCCGTAATTCTGACTTTCTCATAATACTGATAAACCTTCTTGTATTTATGAGTTAATGTTATAATATTTTTAAAAAATCTCTTTATTATGACTCAACATCTCATTATAATGAGAAACTTTCTCATAATGGCTTAATATCTAATAATAATGAGAACTGTGAGTTCATGTTATGATATTAAGAAAATAAATCTCATTATTATGATTTAACATTGCATTAGTGAGAAACTTTCTCACAATAAGAAATGTTTTCATAATGCCGTTGTATCTCAATAAAAAGAAAATTACTCAAAATAATGACTTTCCATGTCATATTCATGAGAAACTTTCCTGTAATTATGACTCAGTATCTTATAATAATGATACTTTCTTGTAATGACGTAATGTTATATTTTTAAAAAATCATATGACTTAACATCTCATCATAAGAAACTTTGGTTACACTTTATTTCGATAGTCCACTTTAGACATTCTATTAACTATAAGTAACTTTGTAACTACATGTCAACTACATGTCAACTAATTCTCATTAATTTGCAACTCCATGTCTACTAACTCTCAGAGTAGACAGGGTAGGTTTAGGGTTAGAATAAGTTGACAAAGAAAGTGTTAGAAGATATTAAGCAGACAGTCTACTAATATTCTACTAACTGCTAGTTGACATGTAGTTGCAAAGTTACTTACTGTTAATAGAATGTCTAAAGTGGACTATCGAAATAAAGTGTTACTGAAACTTTCTCTAACTTCTTGTAACAATAAGAAACTTTCTCATAATAATGACTTAGTATCTCATAATAACGTGAAACTTCCTCATAATAATGAGACATTTTATCGTAAGTTAAAAAATAGAAAATAAATCTTATTATGATTACTTAACATTGTATTATGAGAAACTTTCTCATAATGACTTAGTATCTTGTAATAAGAACATTTCTCATAAAAAAACAATTTTGTAATATCTCGTAATGAGAAACTTTCTCATAATAATGATTGATGAGGAACTAATTCATTATTAAGAGACGTTTCTCATTGTTATGAGACGTTTAGCCATTATAACAAGAAACTCTCATTTTAACGCGAAAATTTCTCATCACCTGAAAATTTCACAATTTTATGAGAAACTACGGCATTGTTAAGAGAGCATTTCTCATTATTATGAGATGTTAAGTTAATATTATGAGGAAGTTTCTCATTGTTATGGCTTACAGAGATAACTCAACTTCCACAGGGAATCTCTATTAAATAATTTTAAAAATCCTGATACAGCTTCACAAACATATGGAAAAGTGCATTGGTCAAATACTGTACCTGTATTTTTGACATTTGCTTGTCCATTGAATTCTCTTTCAAAATCCCACAGTTTGTTACCTAAAACTGATCAGTTAACTGATCTGCATTTTGCATTTTATCTTGACTTCATGTAGAGGGAGTGGTTCCCGGCAGACCTTGTGATCTCTCAGTCATTGAGGCCACTAAAAATTATGTGGTGTTGAGCTGGAAGCCTCCAGGCGAAAAGGGCCATGAAGGGGTTATGTATTACGTGGAGAAGGTCAGAGAGTAAAACTGAATGTGTGACCCTGGACCACAAAACCAGTCATAAGCGTCAATTTTTCGAAATGGACATTTATACATCAACTGAAAGCTGAATAAATAAGCTTTCCATTGATGTATGGTTTGTTAGGATCGAGACAATATTTGGCCGAGATACATCTATTTGAAAATCTAGAATCTGAGGGTGCAAAAAAATCTAAATATTGAGAAAATCATCTTTAAAGTTGTCCAAATGAAGTTCTTAGCAATGCATATTACTAATCAAAAATTAAGTTTTGATATATGTACGGTAGGAAATTTACAAAATATCTTCATGGAACATGATCTTTACTTAATATCCTAAGGATTTTTGGCATTAAAGAAAAATCTATCATTCTGACCCATACAATGTATTTTTGGCTATTGCTACAAATATACCCCAGCGACTTAAGACTGCTTTTGTGCTCCAGGGTCACGTTTAACTTCATAACCACTGCCAGTGGCATTTATATATTTATTAAAGCTTTAGTGTATGTTGTTTGTAATTGGTTTAGTAAAAATGTGCATGTTTGTGTGCAGTGTGTGTCTGGCACAGACAGCTGGCAGCGAGTCAACACTGAAATCCCCGTCAAATCTCCACGTTTTGCTCTTTTTGATCTGGCCGAAGGCAAGTCTTACCGCTTCCGCGTTCGCTGCTGCAACTCAGCCGGTGTTGGTGAACCATCAGAACCGACTGAAGCCACCACGGTTGGGGACAAGCTGGGTATGATATATTCAATAACAGCCTCTAAACCAAGCAAAAGATAAAGAAATATTTGATGTTTTTATGAGTATGGCCTCTTTAAACACATTGTTATGTTAGCATATTTTAATACATGGCTCTCTAGAATACTTACGGTAATTCTGATTGGTGTACCGCACATCGGGAAAACTGAATCCAGCACTACTTTCATGTCCTTCTTTTCTTGTTTTATACAAACGCAACTAGTGCCATCTTGCGTCTTAATTATTGATAGCTATCAAAATAAAATTAGAAGACTGAAAACTTAAAAATAGTAACATCGAACCTAAACCTAAATACATTATTTTATACCAAACGACAGAATTTTTTATGGATTAAATCAGGTAGAAAAAAACTCATTACGGTAAAAGTTGCTGGTTACCACTTTTTACAGAGCAATTTTTATTATTGTGGAAATCTTGACAAAAATATACAGTCAAACCAAAAATTATTCAGACACCAGATATAATTTTTATTTAATTTTTTACTAGTGGGTGCAAGACACTATAGTTCATTTATGTAAGTGAGGATAGCAAAATAAAGTAAACGGTGACATATTATACCCAAAAATTCTTTATACAGTGGACTACCAGTAAAACTGATACACATTTGGGACCAAAAATTTTATTTGACACTTTGACCTGACCATGTTTTGTTGCATACCTTTCTATCAAAGTAATCTGACATTATCAAGATGAATTTGTTCTGGCACAGTTTAACTCTTGAGTTCTTGCCATATTTTATTACCATTTTCTAAACTATAGCGAACAAACTGTGATAATGTGAGAGATGTTGAAGGTGTCTGAATACATTTTGGTTTGATGTGCGATTTTAAAACAATTTAAACTCATATGCATATTTCATTTCCATGTCATTATTTTTGGTGAGTAGTCACGTAAAAAGCAGGATGTTTAAACTTGTTTGTTCATCTCGACTAAAAGCTGTTTGCTGTTTTGCTTTGCAGAAGCTTTGATTATATTACCAAAATAATTACTGCATACAGATAACTGTTGGTTGATCTTAAATATAATAAATTCTATAATAGTTTAATTTTTTCTTTACCTGCCTGCAGATATCCCATCAGCCCCTGGCCGTGTGGTTCCTACCCGCAATACAGACACATCTGTGGTGGTTTCATGGGAAGCTTCACGTGATGCTAAAGAGCTGGTGGGCTACTACATTGAGAGCAGCATTACAGGGAGCAACACTTGGGAGCCATGCAACAACAAACCAGTTAAAGGCACAAGGTATAACGACACATACAGTGACATTATAATTAATCAAAACACACAAGCAAGAGTGCTGCTATACTAAATATCACAACTGTAACATGGCCATAGGTACAAGGCAGTGATCACAGTCTAATATTCAGTACAACAGCATGATTCCAAAAGTGATATTGCTTTTAGACAACATTTCCATAAACAATATTCTATATGCTATAATTAATATAAAGTAACTTACGTTTCAGATACAAATTGGCCAGATGGTTTATAGATTCCTTCTCCTCCAAAGAAAATAGTTCCAAACGTTCCTGAACGATTTCACCTGAGATAAACATTTTAATGCTTGATTCTGTTTGGTTGACGAACGTTCTGAGGTGTGACATTATTTTCAGGGAAACGCACGGCTAAAGTAGTTCCAGGCAGGTCTTGACCGCATTACAATTCCATATCACTTCGCCAAATGATTTCAGATTTATTTCAAATGTCCTTATAGCCTACAACTGCAAAACAACCAAAACCCACAAATACACTGACCAAGCTCAAAACATTGTAAACAATAGGATAAAATTTACTATTCCCCACAAATTCACAGCAAACCGACGGAAAGCATGCTTTCTTTCTTTTCAAACACATAGAATAAAGACACAGTTCGCGTCATGGCCGCATCACCACCTCGAGTGTGCATTATTTTTCGGCTTTTTATGTTTTATCTTTACTTTTTTCTCACAATTGTGAGTTTTTGTGAGAAATTAAGTCAGAATTGTGAGACATAAACTCGCAATTCTGAGAACATGATATTGTCAGTCTTTTTTTTCCACCTCAGAACGGGACTTGATAACTCGCAATTGCGAGTTTATATCTCACAGTTCTGAGAAAAAAGTCAGAATTGCAAAATACAAATTCGCAATTGCGAGAAAAAAGTCAGAACTGCGAAATACAAATTCACAATTGCAAGAAAAAAGTCAGAATTGCGAAATACAAACTCGCAATTGCGAGAAAAAAGTCAGAATTGCGAAATACAAACTCGCAATTGTGAGAAAAAAAGTCAGAATTGCGAAATCCAAATTCGCAATTGCGAGAAAAAAGTCAGAATTGCGAAATCCAAACTCGCAATTGCGAGAAAAATGTCAGAATTGCGAAATACAAACTTGCAATTGCAAGAAAAAAAGTCAGAATTGCGAAATCCAAATTCGCAATTGCGAGAAAAAAGTCAGAATTGCGAAATGCAAATTCGCAATTGCAAGAAAAAAGTCAGAATTGCGAAATACAAACTCGCAATTGCGAGAAAAAAGTCAGAATTGCGAGATACAAACTCACAATTGCGAGAAAAAAATTGTCAGAAATTGTAAGATAAAAAAACACATTTACCTTTTTTATTTTTTATTCAGTGGCAGAAATGGGCTTCCATACATCTGCGAAATGCGAATTTTTGTGATTGGTTGGTGTAAACATGCCATTAGGGATTGAAGGGTTTATTAAATGAACAATAATATAAGCAACAATACAATGTTTGTCTTAGCAAGTTTCACTAATAAATGCTAGAACTGTTTGTTTGAGATTTGAATTTTAGGTTGTAACATTAATATCTGTTCATGTGTTTATGCAGGTTTATCTGTCATGGCTTGACCACTGACGAGAGTTATGTTTTCCGAGTAAGAGCCGTCAATGCTGCAGGAATCAGTGAATTCTCACAGGAATCAGAAGCCATTAAAGTTAAAGCTGCTATCGGTAAGTCATTTATACACTCCTATTGGTATCATTAAGATCTTTAGAATATGATTTCACTTTTCCAGCTTTCACTTTTTAATTCTGACCACTGTAACACGTCCTATATGACACATTAGTGTCAAGGCCACCAAACTCTAGCTCCGCTCCCTGCATTCCTCCCAGGGGTCAGGACTTGTAGACCTCCTCTAGTTTGGGTCACAACTGATCCAACATAGTGGTGACTACAAAACCAGCTCACCCGCTCTCCCACGTACACTCCTTCCCACTCTCTCAATCTTTTCAAACCCGTCCCTTCTGCATGTCTTTCACACTTTCCATGTCATGACCTTTAACAGCCATGAGACTTTCTGTTGATCATCATGCTCACTTATCCTTCATGAAACACGCTTTTCTTGAGCACACCTTTTTCTAATCAAAGCAGTACTCTCTGGCACAAAAACTCAACGTGAACAGATAAATTTACAATAAAACAGCATAAATTATATATATTTAAAAAAATCCACAGGGAATTGGACTTCATAACAATATATGCAAAGAGATTCATTTAGGAGAGTGTTTTTTGATTGTCTCTGTTTGTTTGCTTTTTTGCTTGGCTGCAAAGCTTGCAAAATCTAAAAAAAAAAAAACATTTTTGATTGGCAAAAGTAGTTTCTTATTGTAAAAGTTACACTATTTTTAAAGTAGCTGCAGATATTAGGAAACTAACTAACATCTTTGTTGCATTATCTGGCTTTCATTGAGTTTTATGTCCCTTGATGTAACGCTATAGTGTGATGTTATGTCCTTTTTCATAAAGGTTTAACAAGCTTAAACCTTTGTGACTTTAAAATGCACAAACTAAACTAAATAACTCCATCATCTGCCAAATGATCTTTCTAAACTTTCCTTTCATTTCCCTTAGCTCACTTCTCCTGAAAATAACTTGCTGCTTCATTGCTTGTTTGAATTTGAATAGAATATTGCAAAAACAAATGTGATTATCTCTTGCATGCATACAGACTTCTGCTTAAGTTTTCTACTGAGATGAACTTGGATAGTTAGACTAAAGGAATTAAATGTGAAGCATTCTGAATGTGATTGTGTTTTAATTGAAGTCATGTCTGCTCTCTCTTGCTGTTTTCTCTGCTAACTCCTGTAGGGGGCGGTATTCTACATGGTGTGTGTCTGGAGTCAGGGGGTAATGGGGTCGGACTAACCCAGCACAGCTCTTGTGGAGTGGGCAGGCATGCGACGCCTCACTCCCCTGCTGACACGCCTCTAACACACATAGCTAATGTTAGTGAGAGGGTTGAGGGAGGGGGTCAAAACACTGACCACAAAGGGCATCCAACTGCATCAAATGAAGGCAAACAGGGCAAAAGAGCCAGTCAGCGAGAACCAGAACCTGCTTGTGGGCAGGAAACTACTAAACAGGTTGCAAACTCTAGCACTGAATTGTTAAAGCCCAACTGTATCCAAAAGGAGTCGGCAACAGAATTGCCGGACAGTCGTAAGTCCTCAGTAAACTCTTCTCTGGAACAAGAGAAAGCAGGAGAGCGAGAGAGAGGACGAAGAGGCTCAGGTGAGAAGAGAGAGAGAAAAGCAACTCTCTGGAACGTCACCCATCGGCATCCCTCCTCAGAGTTGGCCTGCCTCCATTTTCTCCTCTCCTGTTGTTTTTTTCCCATTCATTTTTAATTCATTTCTTTTGCATTTTTGCATCTTGAATTTTTCACTCTCTATCTTTTTTAAACACTTATTTAGTGTATTGCAGTTTATCCAGTTTATCCACTTATCCACTCATTAATCATTTATTTGGTCATTATTGTCAGATTGACCCTTGAGGAAAAGAAGTACATTTTATCATATTTTTTTTTTTAAAAGAGTACTAATTACAGACCTATAATCTAACAGAATATACTTAAATGCAAACTGAATGGAATGTTTTCAGACACTTAATTGTGAGTTAACTGCAATTTAATAAAAAACATATTATATTTTACATTTATATTAAATTCAAATATAAACTATAGTACACTTAAGTGGGTCAAAAAAGCACTACTTAAGTTCATCCTATGCAATTAAATGAACTTTAGAATGCTTTTTTGACCCACTTAAGTACATCTTTATAGTTACTTTTATAATTTTTGAAATATGCCAAATGTTTGATAAGCCGAATATACTGACAATCATGTAAGGTAAATTAAAATATACTTTAATGTCATTTCTATTGAAATTTGTACGTCATGTATTTAAACATATTTGTAATTACACATTTGTACAGATTAAGCTGCAATGTAGTATATTTAAAATATATTAGGTTTAAATGTAATGTTGAATAACATACTACAGTTAAAAATATATTCAAGTACTTTACATTAGTATGTTAGTCAACACATCAAAATAAGTGTGCTTATTTTATTTATTATTGTTCTTAAGTGTGTTTTTAAAACAAAAGATTAGTAAACATTAATTTAAATAACTTACAATGGTGTAAAATGTACTTTAAAGTAAAAGTTTTACATTATTACAAAGTGCACTTTTTAAAAGTGTACTCAAGTGTGTTAAGAAACTGACTTAAGTCACTTAAGTGGCCTTTTATTACATTAATATTATATTATCTGCAAGAACGGTTTTTAAAAATATACTTTTAAGATTTGAAATGCACTACAAGTGCACATTCAGTACAATGAAGTGAACCTCTTTTTTTACAAGGGTCGACATAAGACCTCTCATGAAATTAGCATATTGCAGTTGTTTTATTGAGCTTGTAGTCATGCTGTGGTTATAAAGTATATCAACATGCAGATAAGACTGCTAAAATCAATTGGTCAGTCAACCACAACCACATTGGAAAATCCAGATAAAACCTGTTTCTAATGGGTTCTTGCTGATGCAAGCTGGTCTACAGCAGTTCTAAAAACAAACTTGACCATCTTAAACTGGTCTGACCTGTTTTTTCCAATGAGGAATTTTAATATATGGTAAGTCTTCTCAGCTGCAGACTTTGAAAACCTCAAATAACATCACTATCCACACAAATGCATCAAGGGATCCTCTTTGGCTTCTTTATGCCACCAGCCACAACTGGCAATATGCTGGACACCTCCCTACTATACGATACCCTCCTTGCAATGCCATAGTGCCAGTCTGTATTTTTACAGTTCTGTGTTTGGTTTGAATATTTTACTCCACATACGCTGGTACACGCTCAGTCTATCATAATTTTCCTGTATACTGCAAATGTGCTTCACTGCTAACTGTAGTGTTCTGTTATGCCAGCTTCACCCACTCCACCCTACGGCATCACTGTGCTGGAGTGTGTGCGGGACTCGATGGTACTAGCCTGGAAACAACCCACTTTCATTGGTGGCGCTGACATCACTGGTTACTTTGTTGATTACCGTGAGGTCATTGGTGGAGTCCCAGGAAAATGGCACGAGGCGAATATTAAGTCTGTCAGTGAGAGAGCTTATAGAGTAAGTAGGACATTTGTGTAATAACAAGTAAAATATTAGACCATGCTGTGTCCAATTTGGGATCTCCTACCTTGTCTTTCTGTCTAGGTTTCAGAGCTAAAGGAAAACATGCTGTACCAGTTCCAGGTACGTGCAGCCAACATGGCTGGTGTGGGCATCCCGTCTCTTCCCAGTGAGACATTCAAGTGTGAGGAGTGGACTATTGCTGTACCGGGTAGGCACAAATGAATTAGAAAAATAAGTATATAATTTTACTTTCCAGAGCTGTAAAGCTTACAATAAGTAACCCTTGTGACAAAAAAAGTACACTTAAGTAATCTTTTAAAAAGCATACTTTTTATAAGAGTACTTAAGTGCGAATATACTTACGTGTGAACTGAATGTAATGTTTTCAGACACGTAATTCCATGTTATTTGCAATTAAATGAAAATGAATTATAGTTAAAAAGTGCAATTAGCTGAACATTAGAGTGTTGTTTTGACCCACTTAAGTAGGCTAAGTGCTAATCTAATCTAATTCATAATTTTGTCAAACTATTGTCTTTGAAATATGGTCGAAGTACTGCTGAATGTACTGAAAAGCATTTATGGTGAACTGAAATATACTTTAATGTCATTACAAAGTGCACTTAAGTGTACTTAAGTGTGTTAAGAAACAGTCATGAAAATGTCTCTTGTTAAGTACATTTAAGTGCCCTTTTATTTCATTGATATTATATTATCTACAGTACAGTTTTTCTTTAATATATATATATATATATATATATATATATA